CCCGTGCGCTTGCCAGACAGACAGAGAGAGACAGAGAGACAGAAAGCGAGAAATCACCCCCCAGGGGGGATGGCCACGCCGCAATCCCTTCTCCTCATTTCTCCTCTGGGGATCTTGGGCACGCACGCACACGCACCCGGCGTGAGTTTTAAGCCACTGGGTCCGGGCCGCAAACCGTGATCAACTACGTGGGAGTCCAGCGACATAGCCATTACACTAACTGCTGGTCACTCGTTATTCTGATTTTTTAAAAGAGCCCTCCTGTTATTTTTTTCTTGACAACTTCCTCCACTGGAAAACGAAACTGAAAATATCATGAGGGACAACACTGCATGAACCAAAGAAAAGATGACGGGAGGCAGACTCTCAGTCTGCAGCGTGTCACAGAGAGTCAGTAAATATTTACTGACAGCCTGAAAGGTCAGGCCCTGCTCAGCCCACCCCAGGCTTTCACTGCTGTCATGTTTGCTGTACTTAAAGCTTATTTAAGGCCAGCCCTGTAGCCTAGTGGTTCAGGAAGCCAGGTCCCCCATGGCCCACCACGCTGTTCAAATCCCGGCTCCGGTAAATTGAAAACGTGCCGGTGCATGTGTGTGCGAAATCCCCCCAAGACAGAGAAGTGGAGAAGAGACTGTGACATGACCACGCCCAGCCGGGGGGTGCGTTTTCTCACTCTCTGGCAAGCATACCACTCTTTTTCTTTTTTTTTTTCCAGATTTTTCCCATAGCGCACATGTATTTGTAGGAGAGAGAGAAAGTGAGAGGCCACACCGCAATCCCTTTTTCTCTATTCTCTCACACACACACACACACACACACACACACACACACACCTGGTGTGTTTTTCAAGCCACCAGGTCCAGGACTTAAACCGCACCGTCAGCTATGTGGTTTGAGTCCTGGACTTCACCCCGCCATCTGCTGCCCCACTGCCAAATGTTCTGCAGCAATTAATAAATAAGTTTATTTCTTTATTTCTTCCACGAGTGAGAGAGACAGATAAAAGAGTATTTAAACAAGGTCTTTTTTTTTTTTAAGAGAGGTTTTTACTGTAGGGCGTGAGTGCCCACCACAGAGACAAACAGGGAGACAGAAAGTGAGAAATTGACCCCCTAGAGGGGATGGCCATGCCGCAATCCCTTCTCCTCTGTTTTCCTCTCGGGATTTTGGGCATGCACGCCTACGCGCCCAGTGTAAGTTTTAAGCTGCCAGGTCCAGGACTCGAACCACGTGGGAGTCCAGCTACATAGCCATTAAGCCAACGGCTGGTCCCTCCAACAAGGGTCTTGGAAGTTGCAATCCACTCAGCCTCAGCCAGCCCGATCATGGCCACACACATGCCCCACGTACTCAAGGAAGTCTCCTGATGCAAACCTAGAACCTTCTCACGGGGGGCAGCCTTTCAGAGTGTTGTGGTTTTTTTTTTTTTAAATAATTATTTTATTTGACTTTATTTATTTATTTATTTCAATTTGATCAGAGAGGGACAGAGTGAGATAGAAAGTGAGAAACCTAGCTGCCAGGTCCAGGTTTCGAACCTTGGTCCGCCATGTGGGAGTCCAGTGCCTTTAACTACCCTGCCACCTGCCAGCCCCCCAGAGCGTTATTGTTTTACGCTGCACTAATATCCAGCTCCCCTATCCCCACCTTTGGCCCCTCACCCGAGAATCCAGGCAGCCTAGAGACCTGTGAAGACCTCAGTTCCCCCAGCTGTTTCCCAGAATCTTCCCCAGATGCATGAACTAGGAGCTCAGAAACTCATTTTTCTCCATTTCCAGCCCTGGCCCTTCACGTCCCCAGGGGAGACCCTGAGGACTGCCTGTCCACTGACCCTGGTCTTTCTCCGGACTCGGCCCCCAAGCCCTGTGCAAGCCCCTCCCCTCACTCACTTCTCCGAAGTGCATGTAGATGTACTCGCGGGCACGCTGGTGCAGCTCGGCACAGCCGATCTGCTCGGCGAAGTTGGCGATGCCGATGGCGTTGCTCGGGTCCAGCTGCTGCACCAGGAAGTCGCTGCAGGCGCGGACCACGCTGTCAATCTGGTACATGACGGCGCCGTTCATGACGTGGAGCACGCACTTCTCGCCCATGGAGATGGAGGCCGTGTAGGCAAACTCGATGAGACGCTCCATGACCTTGGGGTGGATGCCCTCGATGGACACCACCTCCATGCCCTGCTCTCGCAGCCCGTTGGTGAACATGGCCTTGAAGACAGGGCTGGACGAGGCCAGCACCACCTTATGGGCCATGAACTGGGCGGCCGGCGCGTCCTCGTACTTCACCTGCAGCGTGACGTCGCAGAGCTGCTGGCTGAGCCGCAGCTCATTCATGATGCCAAAGGCCTGTTTGGTGTGGTCCTCCAGCGTGTAGCTGAAGGTCCGGTTGCCGTGCTGGGAGGGCGTCACCTCGGCTTTGCACTCGGTAGAGGCGTACATCACCGCGTCCCCTGCCCCTTTGGGGCACTGTGACCGCAGGGGTAGGAATCGGCTGCGGGCCCCAGCCCCGCTAGGCCTGGGATCCGGCTGCATAGGGTTCCAGATGACAAGGGTCAGCACCACCACTGGCACTCAGGGGCCTAGAGGAGAAAGCACAGATTTGAGGGTTGGGCCTGAGCCAGCACTGGGCAGGTCTCCTTTTATTTTATTTTTATTTTTAAAAAGTTTTATTTCAAACCAGCAAATGGCGTAATGGTGGTGGCGCTGGACTCCCATGTAGTTGACTGCAGTTCAAGTCCCAGGCCCGGCAGCCTCAAGCTCATCCCAGGTGCGTGTGCATGTGTGCCCAAGATCCCAAGAGGAGGCTGGAGGAGAAGGGACTGCGATGTGGCCATCCCCCCTGGGGGGTGATTTCTCTCTTTCTGTCTCTTTGTCTCACTCTCTTTCTGGCGAGTGCACGTGCCCTATAGCAAAAAACTCTCTAAAAAATTATTATTTGTTAATAATAATTATTATTATTTTAATTTGCTATAGGGTACGTGCATTCACCAGGGAGAGAGGGGAAAGTGAGAAAGCAGGCTCCCAGGTCTGGGACTTGAACTGCACTCAGCCATGTGGGAGTCCAGAACCTTAACCACCATGCCACCCGCTAGCCCCTGGTCTCCTTTTAAAAGATAAAGTGACTTCTAGATCATTTCTCCTACTCAAGTTAACCAGGTTCTCTCTGACCTCACCAATCCAAGGGTACATCTTAAAACACAGGTCAAGGGCCAGCAGGTGGCATGGTGGTTAATGTGCTAGATTCCCATGGCTGACCACAGTTCAAGTCCTGGACCCAGCAGCTTGAAAATCATGCCAACGTGTGTGTGTGTGTGTGTGTGTGTGTGTGTGTGTGTGTGTACCCAAAGTTCCATAGGAGAATGGAGGAGAAGGGATTGAGGATTGGCCATCCCCCAGGGGGGTGAATTTCACTTTCCCTTTCTCTGTCTCTCTGCAGTAATCATAAAGGCCCTATGGCCAAAACCTTTAAAAAAAAAAAAAGGTCAGCTCAAGGCCTGGTGGTTGGGGTAGCCAGATCCCTCATGGTCAACTGTGTGGCTGGAGTCCTGGACCCAACAGCTTAAGAGATACATTGGGGGAAAAAAAAAGGGAACCAGCAGTTAGTGTAATGGCTATGTTGCTGGACTCTCACGTAGTCGACCGCGGTTCGCATCCTAGACCTGGTGGCTTGAAACTCACGCCGGGCGCGTGTGCATGCGTGCCCAAGATCCTGAGAGGAGAATGGAGGAGAAGGGATTGTGGCGTGACCATCCCCCCTGGGGGGTGATTTCTCGCTTTTTGTCTCTAATGTCTCTCTCTATCTGTCTGGCGAGCGCACACCCCTATAGCGAAAATCTCTCCCAAAAAAGATAAATAAATAAAAAGATATACATTGGGAATGTGTGTGCCCCAAATCCCAGCACGATGGAGCAATGGAGAAGGGACTGCGGTGTGACCATTTCTCACAGAGGAGGGGGCTTTTTCACTCTCTGTCTCTTCTCTCTCCAGTGAGTTTACATGCCCTCTGGCAAATTTAAAAAAAAAGAAAAAAGAAAGGTCAGATCATGTCCCACCCTTCCTCCTAGACCCTCTGTTACTAAGCGAAACCAAACCCCTTAATGGCCTGCAAAGCCCTAGGCGGTCAGCCCCTTCCCACCTCTTCCCTGCTCACTCTGTTCCAGTCACCTGGCACCTCTTCCCTGCTCAGAACGTGTCTAGCTCATGCCTTCATTCTCCTCGCCAACATTTACTGAGCCGAGCACTGGGGACAAAGCAGTGAGCAAGGCAGGCACAAACCAACCCTGCCCTCCTGGCACTGAGAACTGAAGAGGGAAGAGCCATCTACAAAATCAATTAAGCCAAACGTTAACAGAAATCAGGGCCATGAAAAAAATGGCAACTGTTGAGACAACAGGACTGGGGGACAGCTGCAGCTGACACAGGATTGATACGTGGGGGGAAGGGAGTGTGTGTAGTTTTCCAGGTACAGGGAACAACAAGGCTCAGAGGCAGAAGGATACAGACCATTGTAAGAATTTGCAAGGAGGGGCCAGGAGGTGGCGCAGTGGTTAAAGTGCTAGACTCCCACAGGTCAACCCCAGTTCCAGTCCCTAACCTGGCAGCTTGCTTTTTCGCTTTCCCATTTTCCCCCTCTCTCTGTGTCTCTCTCTCTAGGACACATATGTCCTATAGCAAATTTTAAAATAATAATAAATAGGGACGCAGGTGGCGTGGTGGTGAAGGCGCTGAACACTCCCACATGGCCGACCACCGTTCAAGTCCTGGACCTGGCGGCTTGCTTTCTCACTTTCCCTCTCTCTCTTTCTCTCTGTCTGTGTCTGTCTCTGATCAAATTAAAATAAATGAATGAATAAATAAATGTTTTAAAAAATAAAATAAATAATAATAAATAAATAAAATTAAAATAAATAATATTTTAGAGGTTTTTTCCTTAGGGCATGTACACTCGCAGGGGAGAGACCAAGAGACAGAGGCAGTGAGAGGGAAAGACAAATCCCCCCCCAAGGGACTATGTCCACACAGCAATCCCTTCTTGTCCATTTTCCTCCTGGGATTTTAGACAGGTACGCACACAAGCCTGGAGTGATTTGGCATCATTTGAAAGCCACATGGTCTGGAACTCTAACCTCAGTCAACCATGTGGGAGTGCAGTAGCGTAACCACTATGCCATCTGCTGGCCCCAAAATCATTCTTAAAAAAAAGAAATAAAAGAACTTGCAAGGAGTGGGCCAACCAGTGGTATGAGGATCAAGGCGGCTGGACTCCCCATGGACAAGTATCAATAGGTTCAAATCCTGAACCTGGCAACTTGAGACACGCTGGGCGCATGTGCATCTGTGCCCCAAATTCCCAAAAGCGGGCAAATTAGTAGAGGAGTGATTGCGGCTTGACTATGCTTCATGGAGCGTGCTCTCTCTGTCTCTGTCTCTGTGTCTCTCTCCAGCCAATGCACTCGGCATCTGGCAAATTTTAAAAATAATAAACGGGAGGAGCATAGTGAGATATAATGACGACTGAAGAGTTTCATGAAATCCTGGAGGTGGGTGCGCAGGGGATGAGTTCTGTTTTGCAAAGGGGGAGGGAGGGGAATCTGCAAGAAGCTCCCAAAGTTTTGAGTCCCCAGGTTGTTGGGGGGACTGGCCCAGAGTCACCTGTTCGATCTTAACCACAGGCTTGTGGAGAGGGAGGGCCCGGCCCCCCTGCCCCCGGCCGCCAGCCCCAGCGGCAGAGCTCAGGGAGCCCGGTGAGATCTGCGTCCAGCCCCGCGTCTCGGTCAGGGTCCCGCCTGGGCCCGGCACTGCACAGGGGTCAGCTAGCGGGTGTCTGGCCGGCTGCCCACGACTCTGTGCCTGCCAGGGCGCCCTCCTCCACGGGGCCCAGAGTGTTGCTCGGCTGCCCTCCGGTGCGCTGGCCCCAGGCTGGCCTCTCGGTCTTTGGCCAACTAATTCGTCAACGGTGCCCGCTGGGCACCGGGCACTTCCCCCCCCCTCCAAGAAGCGACAAGTGGGGGACTGCGCATGCCCCGCCTGGGCCGCCACCAAGGCCTGGAGAAGGGAGGAAGTGACCCTGCCGTGGCCAACCCCAGAGCACAGATCAAGCCCCCCAACGCCCCGGGCTCCCCGGGCCTCTGCGGGCGCGGAGCTCTCGGGGCCTCTCGCCCACCTGCGCCGCTCCCCGGCCACCCCGCGGCGTCGCGCCGTCCAACAAAAAGAGCGGAGCTCGGCCGCGCCGGGGGGG